TGTCACTGATGCTCTTTCCAGCGGATTTCACTAAATATTCCTCCAAAAAGTCTCCTTTTAATCTACCAATTAATCGTGCTAACGGTCTCTATTGGCAGAGTTCCCGTGGGCAAGGCTGGCTCTGCCCTGGGGCTCAGCTGCCCTGGGATCCAAGAACGCTTCCTTCTTTCTACTCACCCACTTTCCTGGTTTGCAGGGGAAAGGGGAAAGATTTCCAAGCTCTTTGCACATGAGACAAACCTGGATGTCCACAACTAATTTGAATCTTTTAAAAATTGAGGCTATTTACCAATATTGTTCTGCATTATGTGATAGTTGTCTGTGCATAATATTTCCTCCTGATATTTACTTTCACACTTACACTTAAAATCAGTTGTAACTGATTTTGTGTATAGCGTGAGACATAGTTAAGATTTCCTTCTGTCTAGGTGGATATTCAATTGCACTAGTAACACTTGTTTAACAGATCAAGTTTTCCTGCAAATTTATAGTGATTTCTTTTTTTAAAAATCATGGGTTTGAATCTCTTTTTCTGCTTCGTACTTTGCCTTTGTGGTCTATGTGTTCGTCTTTGCATTATTACTATTATTTGATTTATAAAATAAAGTTAGGTTTGTTGTTTGGCTAGTTCTCTAGATACAAAATTTCTGTTTAGATTGCATTCTCATATGAGTTTTATAATTGACTTGTACATACACACACACAATTGAAGATTTGGTGAGCTTGCATTGAGTATGTAAATAAAGGAAACAAGACAATAGTTAAATAGTGGATCTTCTGAGCCAGCAATTTCTTTTAGTGCTCCACTCAGTTATTTTTTGAAAGCCATTTTCCACACTATCTTATTGTTTTCTGTGAACACTTCACATTTTTTGGTTAGGCGGATACCTTGTTTCTTTATTATTTCTTCTTGAAACGAATATGTGTTGTCATGGTGGTTAATCCCAAGGTCCAACTGGCTGAGAAACACTTCCGGGGTGTTTCTAAGGTGCTTCCAGAAAGGCTGAAGAAATGTGGGCGACTTCACCTGTACCCCCGCGAGGCTGAGGCCCAGGCGGAGTAGTCAGAGGGAAGGAGACAGAGTGAGTGCAAGCATCTGTGATCTCAGAGAATGGCCGTACCTCGCATTCGCTACTTATGAAGCCACTGAAGAATTTGCTATCCTCCTTGCCAGACCTCTTTTAAATTATAGATGAAAAAGAAAGCTGAGTAGTCAGAAAATCTGGCTGAGTTTTCTGTGACAGAAAAATGGAAAATCAATGAACAGATGCGTGTATATATGTGAAGTAAAGCACTGGGGATAATCGGTAGTTTCTCCTTTTAAACACTCGGGAGGTGTTTTCTTATACTTGTTTCTTGCTGTCGAACTAAACTTGAACCTCTGACGATAGCAAACTCCTCTGTGATACATTATCTTATGCATGTGGTTTACTGAGTTAGAACTTGGCACACCTGTTCACAGGTGAGGGTCGCCATAGTTTCCATTCCCTGTACTGCTCCTTCCTGATCTGGCAAGCAAGAATGCATTATTCATAAAATTAAATGTTATCTGAAAACGTTTGGCAGTACTGAAATCACCTCCTTCTTTTGCGTTCAGTTTGACTCCTTTGTAAAGCATCTGAGTTTGTAAAAAAGAAAAAAATTCCAGACTCCGAGGTTCTACTTCTGTGTTTCCATTTCTGAATGTTTTTTACTTGATTTACCAAGGTGTTGAGTAAATGCTGAATTTCTCATCTAAGTTTAGAATTGACTTCTTCATTTCATTCCCATGATTATTTAAATTCCCTTGAGGAGGCTGATAATTTTTAAACCTAGGTTTTTTTCAACCATTTTGAAATCTTTGGATTTGTCTGTTGAAATTATGAATGACTGACACAGATGTGTTGAAAAACATGAATGACAAATATCTAATGCATATATTTATAAAACACACTGCAATGCAAAGCTTTATGCATCCTGTCTCATAAAGAAGCATGAAAAGTCATTCCCAGTCCTAGTAGTAATTGTCCACACCCAACATGAGCATCAAGATAGTGCACTAGAAATCCTGCCTCCTCCCCCTCTCCCTAGCAAGTACAGAACTGGGAATCAGAGACTGCTGGCTGGCTAATGACAGGAAATTTGGAAAAGTCTCCTTGAGAACCTCATAAACAAATCACAGGAATAAGGATTTGCCAGTTGGTGGCATTTTAATATGCTTTAGTAAGAGTCTATATAAAAATGAATGCTTTCATGTGAAAATTAGGTTAATAACTTGGTCTTTCTAAGAGAAAAGAGTAAGCACATGGAAAATGTTATGGGAAAAAGCTAATAGTCTGCTCAGGAGAAGAGAGTAAAAGCACATGGTATTTCTTCATGAGAAATGTAAATACTGCCAGCCCGCTGGTCCCCGCACTCCTAATTAACATGCGGCGCTGGTCTCCGCACTGCTAATTAGCATGCGGCGCTGGTCTCCGCACTGCTAATTAGCATGCGGCGCTGGTCTCCGCGCTCCTAATTAGCATGCGGCGCTGGTCTCCGCGCTCCTAATTAGCATGCGGCGCTGGTCCCCGCACTGCTAATTAGCATGCGGCGCTGGTCCCCGCACTGCTCCGCACTGCTAATTAGCATGCGGCGCTGGTCTCCGCACTGCTAATTAGCATGCGGCGCTGGTCTCCGCGCTCCTAATTAACATGCGGCGCTGGTCTCCGCACTGCTAATTAGCATGCGGCGCTGGTCCCCACGCTGCTAATTAGCATGCGGCGCTGGTCCCCGCGCTGCTAATTAGCATGCGGCGCTGGTCCCCGCGCTGCTAATTAGCATGCGGCGCTGGTCCCCGCGCTGCTAATTAGCATGCGGCGCTGGTCTCCGCGCTCCTAATTAACATGCGGCGCTGGTCTCCGCGCTGCTAATTAGCATGCGGCGCTGGTCTCCGCGCTCCTAATTAGCATGCGGCGCTGGTCTCCGCGCTCCTAATTAGCATGCGGCTCTGGTCTCCGCGCTCCTAATTAGCATGCGGCGCTGGTCTCCGCGCTCTAGCATGCGGCGCTGGTCCCCGCACTGCTAATTAGCATGCGGCGCTGGTCCCCGCACTGCTCATTAGCATGCGGCGCTGGTCCCCGCGCTGCTCATTAGCATGCGGCGCTGGTCTCCGCGCTCCTAATTAGCATGCGGCGCTGGTCTCCGCGCTGCTAATTAGCATGCGGCGCTGGTCTCCGCGCTGCTAATTAGCATGCGGCGCTGGTCTCCGCGCTGCTAATTAGCATGCGGCGCTGGTCTCCGCGCTGCTCATTAGCATGCGGCGCTGGTCTCCGCGCTGCTCATTAGCATGCGGCGCTGGGTCCCGTGTGTTTTCTGTTTTCAGAAGTTATGAAGCCTCCCGCCACGGCCATGCAGAGCAGTGAGCGGTGGCGTGGCATTCCACAGATTGAGCCATTTGTTCACTGGCTTTGGCTTAGGGGCCTGGGGCACAGGAGGCAAGCGAGGCTCCATCTTTGCGTGAAACTGGAGGCGAGCAGGCTGGTTGCTACGTTGCCCCCATTGTTCAGATGTGTGCTTGGCCACCTCACGTCTTTGTTCCCCTGCTCTTGAGCGGCTATAAACTCCCCACGCCGGAGTCTCTGCGCTAATACAAGTTCTTGAATGAAATCACACCTGACAAGTATGGACTTTGACTTCCACACAATCATCTCTAGTCCCCTAAGTCATATGCCTAGGTAACTTTTTCTTAAAAGCACCAGTAAAACCTGGAGGCCAGGAGCGATCCCTCCGCTCGTGTGACTCGCGTGTGCTTTCGGGGCCCGAGGAGGGGCGCTCCTTTCTACTGCCCTGGCCAAGGCTCCACCCGGTCCTTGTCTCCTGGCCTTAATATTAGCTTCCAGTGGGAGCCCTGTGCGCGGCTCTCCACCCCAAACTAAAGCGAGCGATATCCACTCCCCATCCAGCACCAACCTTACGAGAGACACTTCAAAGATTCCAGGGGGAAAAAACCACGCAGGGTGGAAGGGAGGGCAGGCGTGAGCTTCCTGGTCCAGGGCTCTGGGCTCACCACCTGACCTAGGGAACTCAGCCCTCTGTACAGCTCCTCCATGACAACCTCACAGGCACACTTGTACCAAGACAGGAGGCGTGGCCACGGCTTCCCGAAGCCTAAGCTAGCGCTGTCCTGGAGAATCTGATTCCCACTCGGAGGAGTGGGTGACAAGAAATGGTCTCTGGTGGTTGTCCGCTAGCAGTTGTAGCAGCAGCAACAACAAGACAACCAAGTTCAGTTTTAGACAAGGAGAAGAACGTTTGGGGTGAAACTCTCAGAGCTTGGAGAGATATCAGAGAAAAGGAACTAACATTCATTTAAAATCATATTTCCAAAATGCTAATTCTATTCTTTGAAACAGGCACAACTTAGAATAGCACTGAGTTCAGTTCCTACACCTCCCGGCTTTCCAGAGGTCATCCTTGTCTCAAGTGTGAGACACACTTGAGTTCTTTTGTGGAATAAAAAAGAACATGGTGTGTGTCAAAGTGAGTTGGGTAACATCAGGGAAACATCTTCTCAGCGTCCTACGCCGCCATGACACACCCAGCGAACAAGCATTCGTGCCAACACCCACAGTGCACTCTGGGACTTCAACTGCACTCACTCCACAAAATCCCAGCACCGCCCATCTATCACACTGCATGGTGGGAGCGGAAATGACAGGCTTTCCTCCTCCTAGAGGAACACTTAACAAGAAGAGCCTCAAACGTTACCAAAGAAGACTAGCAGTCCCAAGGGGCAGCCATTCCCTAAAAGCAGTAGTTACCAGCGGCTCTTTACTGTCTCTCATACTTTAGTACGGTGTTCAATTCTTGATAAAGCAGCATGCATTATCTATGTTATATATATACATCTCATGGTATGTCAGTATTATATGAAACACGCGTGTATTTGTGATATATAAACACACACAGCTATTCTCCCGCTAAAGGCCCCACACGTCCAGCCGCAGCGAGGGCCGGCTGGCGGCTCAGCGCGCGCCCACCTGCAGGGCGGTGAGGATGTTGGCCAGCGCCTGTCCATAGGTGTCGTGGCAGTGGACGGCGAGCGCCCCGGGCGGGATCTCCTTCTCGATGCTCTCCAGCATCCGCCGCATGCTCCCTGGCGTCCCCACCCCCGTCGTGTCTCCCAGAGAGATCTGGTAGCAGCCCATGGCGTACAGCCTCTTCGATACCTGTAGGGAAAAGGGAGCGCTGGCAAAAGGGGCGGAGCGGGAGGCTCCAGGCTCCGCTCCTCCGGAGGGAGTGCTCACAGCCAGGATGAATTTACACTTACACTGGCACTTTCTAGTGTTTTCCCTGGCTTGTTGTATCCTAAATAGCACACACAACTTCCCAATTATTACCGTTCTGTTTTTCTAACATTCTGAGTTTGCCTTCGAGCCATATCTATTTAATATGAACTTCCCTGTTCAGCTACAAAGTTCTAAGCCAGCATCCCAATTAGGAGGGGCATACACTTAGTGACACTTCAATGGCTCAAAAGTATTACAGATTTTCTTAACTCCATGTAGACATAAAATTTACTCTAGCCATGGTACTAGAGGTCAAGCAACACCCAGAGCCATTACAGCGCGGCTGTTGCTCATTATTTCTGGCCTTTTTCTCTAGATCGTAAGTGGAGGGACTTGTATTGCAAGCTCTCATCAAAAGAAGCAGGTTTCCTAAGTCGCCAGCGCTGCTTTTGTGAACTCAACGGGAATTCACATGAAGACATGTCACCTGGACACGGGGCTTGCGGGGGCATGCTATCAGAAAGTTCCAGGTTGGTCATGTGATGCTGGGCAGAAGATTAGTTTTTTAAGCCTCAATCCCTAATCTGAAGAATGCAGACAACAAAATATCTTCCTTTGGTAACCCTTCATTCCACACACACACACTTTCCAAATGAGACATGCTATTGTTAATGGCACAGTTGAAGATTAAATGGAAGTATGTGATTTCTGGCACACTCCTCCATCCCTCCGGCCTGCTCTCCCCAGTGTCTGGGCCGGCTCAGCTACCTGGCAATGAGAAGGAATGGCCTGTGGATACCAACATTCCCTGTGCTGGGAGGGGCTGGGAGGGGCTGGGAGGGCTGGGAGGGCTGGGAGGGGCTGGGAGGGGCTGGGGGGGGCTGGGGGGGGCTGGGAGGGCTGGGAGGGGCTGGGAGGGCTGGGAGGGCTGGGAGGGGCTGGGAGGGCTGGGAGGGCTGGGAGGGGCTGGGAGGGGCTGGGGGGGGCTGGGGGGGGCTGGGAGGGGCTGGGAGGGGCTGGGAGGGGCTGGGAGGGCTGGGAGGGGCTGGGCAAGACATCCACTGCACTAAGGAACCCGAAGTGTCAACCAGAGTAAGAATTCTGACACACGCATACAGGATGCTCTGAGCATGGCGCATGACCTAGACAGGTCAAACAGGGAAAGCTTATGTGGTAAGCTTGGAAGGGGTCAGAAGAAATGGTCTCAGAAGAATGTTCTAGAAAGACTACCAACCTTAAAGCTGATGGAATATGAAAAGCAACGGACATGCTAGGGCAGAGAAAAGTGGAATGGATATAGCAATGTGAAGTTAAAAAATTGGAAGATCATACTCCGGAAGTAAGATCACATCTCAAAATAACCACAGGGGCTGGACAGGAAGTGAGGTCATACCTCAAAATAACCAGAAGGGCTGGAACCATGGCCCTGTGGTAGAGTACCTGAACATCAAGCATGAGGTTGAGTTCAAACCCTGGTGTTAAATAAATAGCAGCAGCACCTGACCTCCCAGCTGTGACAAAAAGAATAGGAGGATCACAGTCCAAACTGTCCCACAGCAAAGAATGGCACAGCAACAAGAGCTGGAGGCTTGGCTCAAGTAGTAGAGCACTTGCCTAGTGAGCATGAAGCCCTGAGTTCAAACCCCACTGCCCCTGAGAGAGAGTGAGAGCCAGCCAGGATGAGGAGGAGGAGGAGGAGGAGGAGGAGGAGGAGGAGGAGGAGGAGGAGGAGGAGGAGGATGAGGAGGATGAAATCAATCTGCTGGGAAAATCGACAGCAACTCTCCCAAGTTCCAGTGAGAACACAGAAGCAGAATGGCTTTAGCTGCCCGACGGGTTTATCAGAGTAAATGTGAGTTTTCTAGCTACATCTTCACTGCTTCAGGGTCATGTTATTTAATCCAGGAAAAAACCTGCAACCTTAACAAGGGGTTTGTGCCTGCAAATGCGTTTCTAGGACCCTCAGGGCCTCGCCCAGTCTAGACGTTGTCTTTCATCAGCGTGAGTGACTGACGCAAAGGACACAGGTCACACACAGCGATAAGCACATTCTCCGTGACTGCGCTCTATCGCAGAGACATCGTCCTGGTGGAACTGCAGCCTACCGGCGTGCGGCCCACAGTGCGGCGCGGGAACGCCAGCACGGCCGGCCAGCGGAGTGTGTGCACGCTGCCCTTGCACTTGCATGGAAAGGAGAAGGCGCTCACTACACGACGTCACAGAAGCACAAAGCAGAGGTGTGCCTTCCTCCCATCGTTAGCATCCCGTGAACAACAAAGGGGCTTGACCACTACTTAATTCTGAGACAAGACAGCCAACTTTCCAGTCCTTGGTGCTCACGTGACTCACTAAACAATAAATAGGACAGAGGCAATGAACAGAAAGGAAAACACCGACGTCCACTTTGAAAAGAACGCATGCTTTTACCATGAGCCTCAAGGGCTGGAGGTGAATCTTACTTCGGTCACTTTCTGTGGCAGGACGCTTCCTTCGTAAGGACAGCCCAGGGCACAAGACACATACCTGAATGAACACAGCACCACGTCAGCACACGTGGCATGGATCCGCCATCTCCTCTCCACTCCATGACAGCCGGAAGAGCTGGAGAGGCGGCCGGGAGACTGGCTCTAGACTCTCCTTTCATTACTGTCTTATGCGTAGACCAAACAAAGGTTATGTAGGGTATTTTCAGTCAACTCATCTTTCCACCTTTCTTACAACTACAATTTGATATGTGTTGTCATCTGACGACAGATGACACAAAATCAGTTACTTACCATGTAGGGCTGTGGACACCACAATGACCTACAATGTTTCAAACCCAACCGAGTTTACATTTGTATTAAAATAATTACATAATTCAACTTGTCTCTATCCAGGTCTTTACTTAGATAATTATGTCATTCAACATCTCAATATTCAGGTCTAGAATGCTATGTTGACACTAGGTTTCCCTTTGAACCGTCATCTGGATTTTCTTTTTCTTTCTGCCGATCATGGGGCTTGAACTCAGGGCCTGGCCGCTGTCCCTGAGCATTTTTGCTCAAGGCTAGCACTCTGCTCTACCACTTGAGCCACAGCTCCATTTCTGGCTTTTAGGTGGTAAATTGGACTCAAGGACTTTCCAGCCTGGGCTGGCTTTGAACAGTGATCCTCAGATCTCAGCTTCCTGAGGATTACAGGAGTCAGCCACCAGCACCTGGCTATCGGGATGTTCTGACAGCATTAGATGTGGAGTTAGTTTTTAATCACTCCCAAACCCTAGAACTGAGCCCGGCCTTGACTCTCATCTTATTTCTCCATCATGGCTTACATAAATCATCTTAAGCAGAAGAATGTCTGATGTTCCAAATAAAGATTTCTATCAGCCATTCACTCTGAAATAAAATGCCAAGCCTTTCCTGCAGGCACGCCAGTCCCTTTGCATCCTAAAACCATTCGGCTTGGGGACAGGTCCGTTTGAGCTCACGTCAGCTCATCACCAATCCCGCCTGTTTAAACTCCCCTTGGATATTTGTACAACACTTGGTATTAAAATAACGCCTTGTATGTTGGATGCTGAGGGCTGGTGAGCCACGGGAGGCTGGGTGTGGTCCTTCCGGCTCGAGCATCGCAGCGTGGCCTAGCAAGGGCCTGTACTGGATGTGGGGAGCTTGTGCAGAGGCTTAGGAGGTAAGGTCATGAAAAGATGGAATCATTTTCCAGAAATAACATCTTCGGGAACTACAGCTTGCTTTTCTGCCCTCACTGACGGACTACCTGATTGGAATCCTTAGATTTCTGCTTCTGGAAATGCTCCATCGTGGACTGATTTCAATTAAATGGGCTGGGCCCAGGCACGGCCAGCTCATAAAGGCATTGGATCATCACACGGGTAAAGTCCCCGAGAAGATCATCACGGGGCCAGCAGAGCAGACGCCTGCTGACCCCAAACTCAGCCGGCCAGTCATCTGCCCACGCTCCTCAGCTCTTGCTTCAGAGTGAAGCTGCATTTCCTTAGTGGGTCTTCAGAAGAGATGTGCAAAGTGTTCTTGCCTTGTAAAATGACTTGATTTTGCATAGAACAATCTTCTCTTAGTCACCAAATTTACCTACTCACCACTGTCACCTATCTTTTTCTCAGAACTCAGGATTGCACGGTTTTGATCCCTCATCTAAGGAGCCAGCCCCGCGTCCTGCCCCCCAGCCCCGCTTGCTGCCCTCAGCCCCACGTCCTCCCCCCAGCCCTGCGTGCTGCCCCCAGCCCCGCGTCCTCCCCCCAGATCCGCGTCCTCCCCCCAGATCCGCGTCCTCCAACCAGCCCCGCGTGCTGCCCCCAGCCCCGCGTCCTCCCCCCAGCCCCGCGTGCTGCCCCCAGCCCCGCGTCCTCCCCCCCAGCCCCGCGTCCTCCCCCCAGCCCCACGTGCTGCCCCCAGCCCCGCGTGCTGCCCCCAGCCCCGCGTCCTCCCCCAGCCCCGCGTGCTGCCCCCAGCCCCGCGTCCTCCCCCCAGCCCCGCGTCCTCCCCCCAGCCCCGCGTCCTCCCCCCAGCCCCGCGTGCTGCCCCCAGCCCCGCGTCCTCCCCCCAGCCCCGCGTCCTGCCCCCAGCCCCGCGTGCTGCCCCCAGCCCCGCGTCCTGCCCCCAGCCCCGCGTGCTGCCCCCAGCCCCGCGTGCTGCCCCCAGCCCCGCGTGCTGCCCCCCAGCCCCGCGTCCTCCCCCCAGCCCCGCGTCCTCCCCCCAGCCCCGCGTGCTCCCCCCAGCCCCGCGTCCTCCCCCCCAGCCCCGCGTGCTACCCCCAGCCCCGCGTGCTGCCCCCAGCCCCGCGTCCTCCCCCCAACCCCGCGTGCTGCCCCCAGCCCCGCGGCCTGCCCCCAGCCCCGCGTCCTGCCCCCAGCCCCGCGTGCTGCCCCCAGCCCCGCGTCCTGCCCCCAGCCCCGCGTCCTGCCCCCAGCCCCGCGTCCTCCCCCCAGCCCCGCGTCCTCCCCCCAGCCCCGCGTGCTGCCCCCAGCCCCGCGTCCTCCCCCCAGCCCCGCGTCCTCCCCCCAGCCCCGCGTGCTGCCCCCAGCCCCGCGTCCTCCCCCCCAGCCCCACGTCCTCCCCCCCAGCCCCGCATCCTCCCCCCCAGCCCCGCGTCCTCCCCCCAGCCCCGCGTCCTCCCCCCAGCCCCGCGTCCTCCCCCCAGCCCCGCGTGCTGCCCCCAGCCCCGCGTCCTCCCCCCAGCCCCGCGTCCTCCCCCCAGCCCCGCGTGCTGCCCCCAGCCCCGCATCCTCCCCCCAGCCCCGCGTCCTCCACCCAGCCCCGCGTGCTGCCCCCAGCCCCGCGTCCTCCCCCCAGCCACGCGTCCTCCCCCCAGCCCCGCGTCCTCCCCCCAGCCCCGCGTCCTCCCCCCAGCCCCGCGTCCTGCCCCCCAGCCCCGCGTCCTCCCCCCAGCCCCGCGTCCTCCCCCCCAGCCCCGCGTCCTCCCCCCCAGCTCCGCGTGCTGCCCCCCAGCCCCGCGTCCTCCCCCCAGCCCCGCGTCCTCCCCCCAGCCCCGCGTCCTCCCCCCAGCCCCGCGTGCTGCCCCCCAGCCCCGCGTCCTCCCCCCAGCCCCGCGTCCTCCCCCCAGCCCCACGTGCTGCCCCCAGCCCCGCGTCCTGCCCCCAGCCCCGCGTCCTCCCCCCCAGCCCCGCGTGCTGCCCCCAGCCCCGCGTCCTGCCCCCAGCCCCGCGTCCTCCCCCCAGCCCCGCGTCCTCCCCCAGCCCCGCGTGCTGCCCCCAGCCCCGCGTCCTCCCCCCCAGCCCCGCGTGCTGCCCCCAGCCCCGCGTCCTCCCCCCAGCCCCGCGTCCTCCCCCCCAGCCCCGCGTGCTGCCCCCAGCCCCGCGTCCTGCCCCCAGCCCCGCGTCCTCCCCCCAGCCCCGCGTCCTCCCCCAGCCCCGCGTGCTGCCCCCAGCCCCGCGTCCTCCCCCCAGCCCCGCGTGCTGCCCCCAGCCCCGCGTCCTCCCCCCAGCCCCGCGTCCTCCCCCCAGCCCCGCATCCTCCCCCCCAGCCCCGCGTCCTCCCCCCCAGCCCCGCGTCCTCCCCCCAGCCCCGCGTCCTCCCCCCAGCCCCGCGTCCTCCCCCCAGCCCCGCATCCTCCCCCCCAGCCCCGCGTGCTGCCCCCAGCCCCGCGTCCTCCCCCAGCCCCGCGTGCTGCCCCCAGCCCCGCGTCCTCCCCCCAGCCCCGCGTCCTCCCCCCAGCCCCGCGTCCTCCCCCCAGCCCCGCGTCCTCCCCCCAGCCCCGCGTCCTCCCCCCAGCCCCGCGTGCTGCCCCCAGCCCCGCGTCCTCCCCCCAGCCCCACGTCCTCCCCCCAGCCCCGCATCCTCCCCCCCAGCCCCGCGTCCTCCCCCCAGCCCCGCGTCCTCCCCCCAGCCCCGCGTCCTCCCCCCAGCCCCGCGTGCTGCCCCCAGCCCCGCGTCCTCCCCCCCAGCCCCGCGTCCTCCCCCCAGCCCCGCGTGCTGCCCTCCCCCCATGCACTGTGCGCGCGCATCCTACCCTCGCACAGGGATGCTCAGCCTCTGTGCAGCCCTGACCACCTCCTCAAACCTCCCCAGGCTTTCCTCAATGGAGCAGTTGATGTTCTTCTGGCTAAAGGTCTCTGAAGCGGCACCAAACACGGAGACCTCCGTGGCCCCGGCAGCAACCTGAAACGCAGAATCCAAAGCCTTCAGGGGCGTGGACGACAGCAGCGTGGATGGACAGCGGCTTTGAGGCCCCTGTTCATCCACGCTGGCGTCTGACTTACAATGGAAGTCAGAATCCGTGAGGAACAAGGACAAGGCCCCAGGTGAAGTCTGCCCTTGAGCTGTGCAGCTCAGGCCTGTGATTCTGGGACTTGGGAGGCTGAGGTCAGGAGGATCCTGTGCCAAGGCTATCGAGGCAGAAGTGACCAGCACCCACCCTCGCCCACGAGCCAGGTGAAGCTACAACGGGAGGTTAAGAAGGAGGATTGGAGTCTGAGACCAGCATGGGCAGAAAGATGAGGGGCTGAGTTCAAACCTCCGTCCCACCAAGAAAACACAGAGCCATTAAGAAGGAGAGGTAGAGTTTTCGCTTGGTTTTTGAGAGGCTGAACTGGGAGAAAGGGGAATGGGCCGCTTTGGTTTACAGCTCCCATGTTAGCAGACTTCTTACAGAATGACAACTGAGATGTGGTACGGGACGGGGCCTCGAAACCATCCTCAAAACAACAACAAACAGATAAAATTGAGGGAAAATGGTAGCACACTTACAGCCCGGTGGAAACCCTGGAGATTCGGGGTAAGCACGGGATAGCGCACGCCGGGGTGCTGACGAATGCCTTTCATGACTTCGGTGTGGTCGGCCATCTTTGAGACAGAAGAGTCAGAGGTGAACACAGACCTGAGCCAGCCCCGCGGGCCAGACACCCGGGGAGTTCCACACCGAGTGCACATGTTCGCCATGAATTCGCGACAGCACTGTCGGCGCAGCTGAGACCAACGGCTCTCAGAGCCACGGCCGCATAGTCACTAGAAATGCACTTAATTAACTCTCCTCAGAAAGAGGGGTTCAGAAAGTCAGCAATCCCACTCTTTTCACGACCACTGTTTACTCCCTTCCTATGCCGACCGGGGAGAGGCAGATCGGCAATGCGCCGTTCTTCCTTTTCCACGGAAATCTGTGCCTCAGTAATTTCCAGTGGGTGAAATTTCACCCTAGTTTAGAGAATACTGAGTGTCTCCCTCAGTCAGTCTCAAGGAGGCGGTGATCAGTGTGTGATTGGATTAGCATAGGCATTCCCCATGGCATGTCATCCTTGGAACACTTTCTATAGTACAACCACTGGGATATGGCAGGCTCTCATCAGCAAAGAAATGACTATCAGCTGGAGAGAGCCTCAGCACAGACATGTAACCGTGCTGCCAATACTTCCCAAATCTATACAGTTCAAACCTGTAATCCTGCATTCAAACCCCAGCATTTATAAAAGTAAAAAAATATTTGTCGGGAAATAGCTCCATGGATCATGTGCTCATTAAATAACTTTTAAGTTTCTGGAGTAGCCTCCACTCATGCCAACCATGAGAGCCATCCTCCACCACGCTTCTCACACGTCTGCGGACAAGGGGATGTGGCAGGAGAGATTTGTCCTCAGGCCTCTCTGGCTGGATGAACTGGCCATGGCAGAAGTGATCACTTCCGGTGTGCGGAATACAGTGGGACAGACAGACACGGGACACGCCACCTCCTCCACACATGCCTCGATCAGTGTAAATATGCAGATAGTGCAGTTCCAGACTCTATCACTCAAAACTCCATTTGAGCAGTAATTCCTCTTAAAGGCAGTATTCATAAGTTCCGTGGTGGGGGCAGGGGGCGGGAATGAGACTAGAGTTCTTCCTGACGGCCCAGGATGCAGGGCCAACGCCAACCCTGCAGCCTGGGTACTGTGGCTCATTCTCAGACTCTGCTCAAACCCATATATATTAGCCTCAGTAGCACAGAGGAAATCTTGGTCTGCTTGAAGAAGTAAAACGGTTTTCATAAATCACAGTCTTACAATAATAAACACAGGAAATCTCTGGAAAATTGAACATCCAGGTTTTTTTTTCCACTTTTTTTTCCCTACCCAATACCTGGTCTTGGCTGCCAAAGCTGAAATGGTCTGACACCACACACACACAGCTTCCTAAGTCTAGAAGCCTTAAAACTAATTGTGTCTGGTGTACAATTTCCTGTGCTTCCTTATGCAACGTTATGTCTGTGTACCCAGTCACCATCTCTGCCAGACGCCGGGACCCCGCACGCCCAGCCACACTCTTGCTCACGAAGAACACACACCAGACATCTTCTTTTACCATAATCTGTCAGCATCTACAAATGCTCGTTTGGAAATCACAGGATAAACTAAACCTAGCCCAGTAGATTCATGGCTTATCAAGTGGGAGAGTAATGTCCCCAACAGAAAAAACAAGAGTCCTTTCGTTCCGTAACACGTCTTAGCTTCTGAAGACAAACCCCACGGCCGCACATCGGTTATTCTTGGTTTGGGTCGGTGCGTCTGGTGACCGTCCCAGTCTCCCCAGGGCCGAAGCGCCAGGCTCCTGGGATAATGCTCTCTCCACCCGACCAGTGCTGCACACGCACCGCACCACCACAGCACGGTGTGACTCACGTGGTGTGACTCACATGGTGTGACTCACGTGGCGAGCACCGCCAGTTCCTGGCAAGGAAGCAGAAGCAGTCGTTCAAATACCAGACCTAGCTGCGCACGTCTACACTGACTGTAACTGAGCGTCTCTTCTCTCCTTCACCTCCTTCTGCAAGTCGCTCACACCCGTGTGGAGGAGGGCTGGCTGGTAAGGAGCGAGGGGGACCTGGGCTGTGAACCATGAGCCATATGACACGAGTGATAAGAACGGAGGGAGAAGATCATGTTTTGTTACCTTGCAGGCAACGCCATCGTGCAAACAGCCTGTGATGAGCCTAGATCTCTGTAGCAGCGGAAAGGGTAAAGACGGAACTCTCCAGGTGGTCCGGTGTGCCCTGTGACACCGTGCCCGATGTGGCCAGTCGCTGTGGTCTATTCCGTTCCAACACCCTTGTGAGAGCCACCTGGCTGCTAACATTTTGCGTGAGCTTGAATTGTTTCAGTGCTTCTTCATTCCCATTTTCCATTTTAACTTCACATTGCTGGGCTGGCATAAACTGTGGTGACTGTTAACCACTGACTGCTATTCAACTTGTGAGACCAACAAAGAACTCGATACAGTTTTTTATAGAGACACAATAAAAGCAATGAACCAGAGAATGAATAAGTGGAAAGGGTCCAAGGCATAGAGAGATGAAATACCTTGCCAAAATCATGTTATAGAACCATAAGAGCTAGGTCTCAGAGCTTTCTGCGGTGCCGTCTGAAAGCTCAAGTTAAACAACAGGTATAATGGGGGTCCCCAAGGCAGGAATCCTGTAGCTGGGGGAACAGGAGGAGGCCCTGGGGTGGAGGGAGGGAGGGGCGGAGGGGCGGGAGCAGGGGGAGTGGGAGGAGAGGGCATGGGAGAGGGTGGGGGGGGGGTTAGTCCAAAATATTCTAGAAGCAGAATTCAATCAATGTACGATGTACCCATTTTGACTGATAACACTTAACTTTATCAATGGATTCCTACATCCTAGCAGTCAGATAATTCTATAAAGCCAAATTTAATTTTTTAATCGAATCTAAAAGTGACATTTTTTACTTTTAAAAATAATTTCATTATTATTTGGGAGTTGAAAAGCAACTTCACAAGTCAAGTAATGAGCACATTTCTTTCTCCTGTTTTGGTTGTCACCCTTCCATTGCTTTCCCTAGTTTCTCCCAAAAGTGACATTTTAATGTAATCAACATGGACTTGACCTTTTCCCTTTCCCATGAGTATGCTTGACAAACATGGTAAACAGATTGAAAGACAAGGTGAAATGTTTCATTATAACATTTGACTTTGGTTACCTTTATAAACTTAAGAATGAAGAAAACCCAATTTGTAAAAATGTAACTGATCAAATCAACTAATTATCAGTCAATTGTCACAGCATGAACCTGTAATTCCAGAAGGATGGGTGGAAGGAAGGACCTTAAGAGAGGGAGGGAGGGAGGGAAAGAAATTAAGAAAGAAAGAAAGAAAGAGATAGAGAAAGGAAGAAGAGAGAAAGAGATGGGGGAGGGAGGGAGGAAGAGAAATATAGAAATACAGAGAAAGAGATAGATAAAGGAAGAAAGAATGAAGAGGAAGGAAGGAAAGAAGGAAGGATGAAGGGAGAAAATTTAGAGAAAGAACAAAAGAGACAAAGAAAAGAAGCAAGAGAGAGGGAGAAAGAAAGGAAAGAGAGAAGGAAGGAGAAAGGAAGAAAGGAAGGATGGAAGGGAGAGAAGTATAGAGAAAGAAAGAGACAGACAAAGGAAGAAAGAAGGAAAGCAAGAGGAAGGAAGGAAGGAAGGAAGGAAGGAAGGAAGGAAGGAAGGAAGGAAGGAAGGAAGGAAGGAAGGAAGGAAGGCAAGCATATGTTGAACATAATGAAACTTTTAATATGATATGTTATAGCCTAATGAAGTATTTATTATATGTTCTGCTTGAAAAATAAGGAAATCAAGCCATTGAAATCTCTGACAGTCTTGTAATGGTAAGTTTCTCTTTCACTTCGATGCTGCTGCAGAACAAACTCAGCTAGAGAAGGCATTGTTGAGTGCTGTGTAACACCAAACAATGTCAGCAGCAAAATGCATGGCTTTCTAATTTCCCTGCAGATCCTTCCTTCCTTCCTTCCTCCCCCCTTCTCCCCTTCCTCCCCCCATCTCCCCCCTCCCCCTTCTCCCCTCCCTCCCTCCTTTCCTTCCTTCTTTCCCTTTTACTTTCCTTCCCAAGACATAGTCTTGTTGTAGAACCCCAGATTAATTTTTCAAAAAGTAGTTTCACCATCCTTATTCCACCTTTCCCCCCAAATTTTTGTTCATATTTCTATACTCCTTCCTGACAGAAACAAATCTTTAGAGATTAGTGGATATACGTTAGGTGATGGCTTGTCTTGGTTTGCAACATGAACAATGATAAAAATTTCACAAAGGAACAATTCTAAAACATTGCACTTTACGTTCATCACTGAGTAAAGCCAGGGGCAGCATCTACACAGCCCCTTCTCACTCACGATCCGCGGATCGTAGGACTGTTCAGCTGCGGTCAGACCTACCATCACCTAAGCAACGCATACAGGGCAGAATTCAGATGGACTGCCATACTGGAGACCGTGGAGCTTAATATTCAGAATGCAGGAATTATCTCCCTTGAGAGGAGAAAACCTTGCGTACTTAGAGAAACATTGTCATATGGCAACTTAAAATAATGCAGTGTTTGTGCTAACAAAGATATCAATGAAACTGGACTTTTTATTTCTGGACTACAGTGACTTCTATTCTACAAAACTCCTTTCCCTTACTTATGCCTTCAGAAGCAAGAAGCATTACCTAAATAATTGCAGACATCCAACTAAGTTGTAGACTTACAAAACACTCTGTAAGGATGTCAGCCCAAAGTATGCACACACACAGTTGGCCCCACTGGACAGGCAAGACACAGCCTTCAGGAAATACAGAAATAACACAGTGTACAGAGATTCTAGACTATGTGGCAATGATACAGCGTACAGTGGTTTCTATGGGAGTCTGGGCTTGGTGTTCCGGAGTTGATGGCAGGATTCAGGTGTGGAGATGGAAGCTACCGGCTTTAACTTGTGCCTTTCCTTTTCTGCCCTTTAATTCTGCCTTCCTGGAGGAGTGCTGGCATTCCGATGGCCATACGTGCACTCAGACAGGGTAGACATGGCCACGTGGCAG